GTAAGGAAAAGTCCAAAATCCAACAGCAACACTCTATCCAACAAATCCGCAACATGTCGATACAGTTTGTTTCCTTATAAACACACTTTGGCACGGCGCATCCAAACGACACACTTCCTGTGTCGGTCACGTGATATGTTCTTCCAGCGATGCACGCACCGATACGGGGTTTCACTCTTGTGCAGTCGACACTGTGCTGACGCGCCCGTGTCGTTCGTCCATCACTACATCCTACAAATAAAAGGATTTTTTCTTTACATCTACTCCTGCCTCGTGTCATCCTGGTTTCTGCATTTTGGGTCCAAACCATCCTCTCGACGTGACAAAGTCAGCTTTAAAAACTAAAACAATTATTTATGAACCAACATTAACTTCAATTAATGACACTAAATGAAATCTTTTTTCCTAGTTCATTTTAAACCAAGAGTCTCTTAACATCTGAATTTTTAAACTTGTTGGATCGTGAATCTGTTTAAAATTTTTGCTTTATACGTGCCCCTTTTTAACTTTGAGCCCCCGCCCCTTCATAGGTCTCTGCACGGCCCTGGTGAGCTTGATCTTGTTCTGACTTACGGACTGTCTGTATCCAACTTGGTGGTATCTGACGCAGTGTCTTCTGACCACCCTGTGCACCTGTAATGCAGGGTGTTAAGGTGCAGAGACATAGGATTTGAAACTGAATTATTTTCTACTGAATTTTTAAGTTCCCCTCTGTGTCACAGTGGTGCTGATAGTGGGTGTCTAACTACAGTACTGCTGGACTTGTGAATCAGTTCAGCAAGCTGTGTCATATTGTTTTAGACAAAGTTGCTCTGCTAAAGCTCTGGCGTTGGAGGACTTAAGTGGAGACATAGCTGAATGATGTCACTCGTGCGGCCAGGAGGGATTGTAGAAAGGCTGAGTAGAAATGGAGAAAAGATAAACCGCAGGTGTCTTTTGAAATCTTAAATACCTCCTGGTGTCATTAGGATAGAATAGATCCCGCAGAGTGAAAATTCACTTGTTACAGCAGCAGCAACACTTAGAGAAAAGGAAGATGAAAATAACAACAATACAGGTAAACACAGAAAGCAGGAAGCTATTCCTGTAATCTTCAACCACTAAAAAACAAGTAAAAGGACAACTTGGGTTTCAGAACTATGCAGCAGAAGGGACACAGACATACTATCCAAATTCGGTATTGCATGAGTATTGAACACATACTGAATATTGCATTGAAGTTATTGTGTACCATAATGCCAGTTTTGACATACACAAAATACGGGTATTGGTTGCTGGTCAGAGCAGCTCACCGCTGTTATGGGGTGGGCCTGAGTGCAAATGGGTGCGCCCAGGCCCAGTAGTTGAATTGAATGTGATATTTTGGGAACTGGAACCACACTGGAGATCTTCCACAGGATGGGGATCTGCTCCAGCTGAAAGCTGAAAGTTGGTCAGCACAGTCTTTGAGCAGTCTGGGGCTGTTGAATGGTGCAAAAATTGGAGATAGGGAGAGATTGGCTGGCTCAGTGGAGGTAGTTGGGGGTTGGTGGTGTTGCAGCAGTGGGGGGGGGGGGGGGGGGTAGGAGTCAAGTCTGTTAAGGAACAGGTTAAGCTCCTGGGCCCAGTTATGATCCCCTTCAGCAGACTCAATTAATCAATCAATCAATCAATCAATCAATCAAAGCTTTATTTATAAAGCGCCTTCCACAGCCCTGTCAGGAAGCCCAAGGCGCTGAGACTCACTGGTACCACTTCTCCCACTGTGTCTGGTGATGTTTCTGAGGCCTTTCCATGGACCACAAGCATTGTTCTACCCCCGGTGTTTCTCCAGCTTTTTACTGAAGCCATCTTTACCCTGTCTGATCTTATATTTAATTTCTGCTCATCTGTTTCTCCAGTGTTAACAGCTTTCTTCTTATTGTTCAGCAGGGATTTCAGCTCAGAGGTCAACCAGGACTTATGATTTGAGAAACTCGTTGTGTTGGGACAGTGTTCTCTACACAGAAGTTTGCATAACCAGTGACACAGTGGGTCAGGTTATCCAGGTCATCTCCATGAGAACTGCACGGTGTCTCCCAGTTAGTGGTTTGGAAGCAGCAGCTACCTTCAACCACACTTTCACAGATTTCTTCTGGGGAGGCTCTCTGGACTCTGGAATCATGTGGATGAGATTGTGATTAGAGCACCCGAGCGGGGGGACGGGGGTGGCAGTGTATGTGTTTTTTACATTAGCATTCAGCAGTCAATTGTCTTATTTTCTCTGGTGTGGCACTTCACATACTGGATAAAGATGGGGGGAGTGGGGGAGAGCGAAGTGTGATTAAAATCCCAGGGAAATGTTATACATTTCAATTACTGGTAATTATTTTTAATGATAAAATATTAACTAATTAATTAACACATTAACTGAAAGGATTATTTAAATGTTATAACATTTTTTTTTACATTTGTATTTAATGGTAAATCTTAGTTACATTTTATACATTTTATTTTACAGGTAATTAAATTTATTAATTAAAAATTAACTAATTAATTTACACTTTATAAATTGAAAAAAAGTCAAACTCACATATAATTACTTTAATAAACAAATTAGAAAAAAATTCCCACAATACTTGAATAAAATTTTTTTAATCAAAATTGAATCCAAAGAGCTTTTGCAGGTTTACCAGAGCTACACTAAACATGAAATTAAATCTCAATTGTGTAAGAGCGTTTAGCATGCTGCAATACGTTCCCTTTAAATGTAAGTGACTTGCACGAACTATTTCATTTAAAGCCAGTACAGCAGCACCTAACTGTAAACCGATACACTCTGGTCAACAGGCTGCTGTAAACTGGTATTTCAAAACGGGCAAAGCGGTACCGTAGAACAAAACCGTGTACTCAAAATTTGTTTCCACGCTGCTCAACCAATAACTGGACATAGCTGAACAATATTTGTGAGGCTCAGTAAGCCAAAAGAGGGCTTCTGTACTCTTTGTTTAGTTTTCTCTTTCCAAAGGGGTGCAAATTGCATACCAGATGAGCAGGATATTGCCAGCCAACATAACAGAGAATGATTTTAGCCGACCTTAAACCAGCTTTAAAACATTATTCCATTAGCTTGGCTTTGAGGTTCTGAACCTTGTCACTTAACTTAGCACAGTCGAGACACAAGAAGAGTTTCTGGAACACCTCAAAGGTGCATTTCAGTTTTTTGGGATACTCCAGGTTAAGAGCATAGATCAGTCCCATTAAGAATATGCATGCCCTGGTTCTGGATCCACATCCAGTGAGCACTTGGTTGCCCGCCAGCATAATCGCCACGGCTGCATCTTCAGCAGTGGGTATGTGGAAGACAAGCACCTTCAGTGTCTGGTTGCTGAAGTCCTCATGATTATCCTTCATATGAAAAGGAAAGAAACATTTTGAAAACAATTTTTTTTTATTAAAACATCATCAACAGCATCAGTGCTAACTATAAAAAAAGTTTTAACTAGTTATTGTCTTCAGAATTTTCTGTCACAAGACACTTGTGAAAATTACAAATATTACAGTAATACGTATTTTGTGCTGGGTCTCTCCCAGCGCTTTATAAGCCTGGCGGCCCGCCAGGGTAAGCATCATGCCCCGCCCCCCTCCCCTCCCCTCCCCAACCCTACCGTGTCCACTGACACAAACGGTGCAGCGAAACTGGAGCCCTCCATCAGCTGATATTGGTGAGAAACAGCAGCGGAACGTGCGCAACCCCCCCCCCCCCCCCCCCCCACACACACACACACACACACACTCGCACAGAGGAGCGCTGCGGGACGAATCGGAATGCATCATTTTCACAGATTTACACTCTGCTCACCCCTCCGTCTCCACCTCCTACCAACAATCTATCAGCTGACACCTTTGCTTCATTCTTCACTGACAAAGTGGCAGCTATAAGCAGTTTTCTCAACTGGCCACTCCTGAACATTCGCTACCACAAACTCTGTCTAGCCCAACCATCTCAGGCCCTGCTGCTTCATTTGCCTCTTTTTCCCCTCTCACTGAGAACTGTGTGTCCAAGCTTCTCACGTGCAGCCGCCCTACCAACTCTACCATCATCAGTGCAAGAGCTTGGTGAAACTTTAACGGCAAGGCAGTTTAATTTGTCTGCATAGACGGCATGATGACGGGGGGACTTTACAGTAAGTATACAAAAAATATGTATAAACTACAGCCTAGAGGTTCTTATATGCAATGTCAGGAATCCAGAACTGTCAAGTACACAGGTGGCAGGAATGGCCAGTCACACATTAGCAAGAATCAGCAAAGCCAATAGATGAGCCTATGGACAGTTCTAATAGCAAACAGGCTTTTTAAATTTGATTTTGGATTTAAATGCTACTAGAGCTGGGGCACAACCGTTTGCAGCATAGTAGCTAAAATCATCATCACTGACCCAAGGTTCTACCAGCTGACTGTTTCCTAAGGATCTCAGAGCCCTGCTGGGCGTAGACACCTGAAGGAGTTCGGACATGTATTCTGCCCCATGCCACTGAGGGATTTCTAATCTATTAGAAGTACTTAAAAATGAAGGCAACACTGGATGGAAATAAAACTTGTGACACTGCAGACGGTCCAAAAAATATTTGAGTATGTGTATGTGTGTATATATATATATATATATATATATATATATATATATATAAATATAAAATATAACAAATGTATAATTCATTGCCTAAGCTTGTGGTTTATTTTTAACCCCCTTTTAGTGTGTAGCAGAAAATACTCCAGGTACTCCGGGTTTTCTGCATGAACGAACATGTGGCTCCGCGCATGCGCTGTGTGGACCGTGCCCGCCAGGGTGGTGATCTCTCTCTCTCTCTCTCTCTCTCTCTCTCTCTCTCTCTCTCTCTCTCTCTCTCTCTCTCTCTCTCTCTCTCTCTCTCTCTCTCTCTCTCTCTCTCTCTCTCTCTCTCTCTCTCTCTCTCTCTCTCTCTCTCTCTCTCTCTCTCTCTCTCTCTCTCTCTCTCTCTCTCTCTCTCTCTCTCTCTCTCTCTCTCGCGCGCGCGCGCTCGCGCTCGCTGGGAAAATCCGAGCAGGAGGAGAGCGGCGGAAGGAGGAGGAGGACTCCTTCAGACACATCGACACAGGAAGGTAAATAAAGAAGATAGGACTCCAGGGGCACGTGCCCCGGTTCCCCGGTGCGGGACAGCAGGGCAGAAAGCCGTCTCACAGATGTGTCTCCGACAGCGCAGCGGATCCCGCCCTCCGAACCGTCCTCATGCCCAGATTGTGAGTATCTGCTGCTGAGCGGGCTGGAAGTTGGGAGGGGAGCTGGTTTCAGGTCTCCTTGGTTCCTTTCCTCCTCCCCTCTCTTGCCTCCTTCCTCCGCCGGAGTGCCCTTTCGTTTCTTTTTTTCGCCTCCTTTCTCTTTGCGAGCGGTGAACGGAGCGAGCGAACCCTCCGGTTCGCCGTTTTCCGCCTCACTGATTCGGTTTTCTTCGTGACGTAGAGTCGAACGGGGGCGTTTCTGCCCCCCTGAGCAGAAAAGTAGCGGTTACCTTTGTTTTATGCCTGCTGAGGAGTCACCTGTTCCCGGGCCTCTGGCTCGTGGCACCTGGGTCATTCCAGAATTCAGGGACATTTTCTGTCCCACCCACTATAATCAAACAATCCATGCACAAAACCCTAAAACACATATTTACCTTCTAAATTATTGTTTTTCTTTAAAACAACTGTAAAATATGTTTCTAAATAACTTTGAAAATGCAAATGTCAAAGCTCCCTAAAATGCTGTTTTTCTCTTGTCCCACCGATGTCAAATAAAATGGTTAAAATACGTTTTAAATATACTTTTTTGCCTCATTTTGTTTACATGTGTTTGTAGTAATTGTTAAAACTATTACTATGATCATCAACGCATTTAAATAACACTAAAACAATGATTAATATTGCGATGACGATATTACTTGCGATAAATTAAAACTTAACTCAGGAACAAAAATAATCAAAAACAAAGAAGAAAAAATTCATAAAAATTAGAAAAGCAAAAGATGTGAGGAAAGGGGGGAAAAACGAACAAGAAAAGGGAATCAGTGGATCCCGGGAAAAGCAGAATCAGCAGAAAGAGCAGAACAACGCTAGCTCAGGTGTTTACTGTCAAAATTAAGTGTCGTCCGCCTCGGGGGCGGGACTCTAACCCAAGAGAACCCACCCAATTGGCCAAATGGGTGAAGAGCTCCTTGTTGATTTGTTAAAGAAACATCATGCTTCCTTTTGATAGAATCCATTATGCGTAGCAAACATCTGAGCTGGCCATTCATTGCGATTAGGGCTGCAACTAATGATTATTTTCATAATCGATTAATCTGTCGATTATTTTTTCGATTAATCGGTTTGTTATTGTTTAGCTATTTAACCTATACAAGTGATGAATACATTTCAGTTAAGAAAAAGAAAAACATAAGAGAATTGTGCAGTTGACTGCAATCTATTTTATTGCACATGAACACAGTCAGCGTTGTAAAAGAATAATTTTTTGGCATCAAAATATGAGAGGTAAATTCCATAAAAATAATGTAGAATCTAGAATAGAGTTTGTAAGTGGTATGCATTGCTGGGGGGTGAGTGTCTTGTTCCCCATGTAGTTGTCCATCATTGCTTGTTTTTTTCTGCATAAGAAACACAAATAGACTGAAATAAGTACACATATAAAATAAAGCAGCACACACACTACAACACTCAATCAATATTACATTATTTGAATTAATTAACAATATACAGTGATCATTTATTTTGACAAAAATGTGTTGTGAGGCGTTTTACAGCGTTGGATAGTAAAACAGCCTTTTAATAGTAAAAAAGGACTTTCTGAATTTCTCCTGTATTTAAAAATTGAAAGCGTACAACTATGCCGCGTTATATTCACCTGGACACAGCTCGTCTGTATATTTTTCTCCGCGGAGTTGTCCTTTTTTGAATGAGGAACATAGTTATGGGTTTGTGCCGTTTTTATCTTAACGAGAACATTCTTATAAACAGATGTGCTAAATTTGGCAAGTGCATGATACACAACACGGAGGAGATTCACGATTGCATCTAGCCAATCAGAAGTAGAACACCGTAGACTGACGCGGCAAAAAAACATGTTTAACATCCACTATAACGAACTCAGCTCCCAAATTTGATCTGCGTTAGCTTGTTTATTTTCTGTTACTTACCGGATTTACCGGACTTTCCTCTGCTGCATCAGCCCCCACATGTTTTCGTCTCAAATGTTCACTTTGGGACGTCGTGCTTCCGTGCCATGCTAGATGGTTTTTGCATATTTTGCAGGTCACCCGTCTTTTCAAGGCATCTAGAGTGAAGTGCTCCCATACTTGTGAGGTTTTTGTCCGGGGTTTCTCTTCAGTTTTGTCGCTTCTATTTTTCTTCCGTATTTCTTCTTGTTCCGCCATCTCTCACAGCAAGATGAGCGTCAGTAACGTGATGCGTCGTGAAAACCGAGGGCACTTATTGGCTCATTTCTTCTTCTACGGCTCCACTGGTAGATCAGTGGCTCATTACTGCCACACACTGGCGGCAAATTTAACAGATTGTAACAGATGTCAGATTGTGGTAAAAAAAGACTTTATGCGGTAAAATGTGATTAGTAAACAACTAATCGATGACTAAAAAAGTTGTTAACAATTTTAATAATCGATTATAATCGATTAAATCGATTAGTTGTTTCAGCTCTAATTGCGATGTTTATCTGTTCTTTGCGATATGCGTGTTGCGCATGCTGACATCGAGATAATGATATATTTGCGATATATTGTGCAGCTCTACTAAAAATGCATGGGATTTGTGTCCCACAACATATGTTCAACCCTGTTACCAAAATATTATTAGCGTAGCAGAAAAGGAGGGACAACGGGATGTCACATGACACAAAGATTATTACATCATCAAGCCCTTAGCTAACGCCATGGGTAGACCAAAGGTAAGTCCTCTCCTGTTTTTTAATTGTTTTCAGTCTAACCTGACTGGCCCACACTAACCCAAGCAACCCTGTTACTCTTTTTTTTGGCAATATGACATTTTAAATAAAATGTTTTCTGTAATTAATAATGTAATTAAAAATTTCCTTGATGCTATCAGTAACTTTACATTCCACAGCTAGCATCTATTACAGGAAAAAGCTAACATTAGCATTGAATTTTCAACCCTATTACAGTAATTAGTTTAACAGGGTTGTCTTTCTTTCAGTTAATTCAGAAAGGCCAATCCTTTATCGAGGGTAAAATTACATTATGTATTATTTTGCATTGTTTACTTGTTTAAAATATATTACTATGTTTTCATATATGTTCAGAATTGTACTATAAATTGCTGTTTTTTTCATTTTTGCCATCAGGTAATGTGTATGTCAGTATTGCAACAACCAGCTGGGTGGGATGATCAACTGAATGTTACATAAACAGTTTTTAGGTACATATTTACGTTATTTAAACAAACATTGTGAAAACTTTAAAACTGATTTCTACAGAGTTCTAGCACACCGCTGAGCTCTGCATAAAAACAAAGACGGTAAAGTGGTAGCCGTGATGCTGATGAACAGAGGAGACAGCAGTATTTAGAAAGAAAGAGCTGAAGTGGAAGATGTTGAATCAGGGAAGAAAAAAGGCAAAAAGATCGTAGCGAGAGAGCAGCGGACCTATCAGAGGTGTAATGACAGGAAAAAGTTACTTAAAGGATTCAACAACCCTCCAGTCAGCTCTCAACCTCAGACTTCAAGCTCAGGACCGGTTCAGCTTGTTGAGGAATGATATGTATTGAAGCATAATTCAGTAATGAAAAAACTAATATTGTTACAGTCATACAATAGTGATGACTATTTAGCCACAACTGAAGTGTTTAAGTCACAATGTGTTTATGTTTAGGCAACCTGGTGTCCCTTTGAGGACATGTCGACCCTCGTTGCACCTCCACACATCGTCATCTCACGCCACATGGCCATGCAAGAGAGTTATGGGATACTCTGGCCTGTCATGCAAACTGAACCTGGACAGTTTTCTACAGCAGGAATTCGTTTATGACTATTTTGGATATTCTCATTTTCATTAATGCCAGGTTTTTGGTCTTGTGTGGTTATGCATTTATTTATTTATTTATTGCCTATTGAATTTTTGTTCAGAAAATTTGGTTTCCTACTGATAAGTTCTTTTATCCTCTATCAAAAATGGGTTAAATTGTTCTACAAGAAAACTGTTAGGTATTTTGAATGAATAAACGCACCAATTACAGGTTAATATGCATTGGATGTTAATAAATGAAATATGGTGTTATTAAACAGCATTTGTGTGGTCCTGTCAGTATTTATTTGTCACTTATGTTATGATGTACAATCAAAAGTATTGTGTCCATTCCACCCTGTTACCATATCAGTTTAAATACAATTGTATAAAATTAGTGTCTAAACCAGGCTTTGACCTCTTGACCTTGTAATAGTTTTACAGATGTGATGCATAATAATTTAGAGCAAATCTTTGAAAATTATAACTGAAAAAATGTTTTAAAAAGACGTGAATTTGGAAAAGTTGCTCAAGCTAGATTCCAAAAGTTGCTTAAATGATTTTGGCTTGAGCCTTACTTGAAATTAAATAATTACTCAGTTAGAATTTCACATTATTTACAAACTATGAAGGATTAATCAAACCGTTTTAGAAAAAATATACTTTTTCAGGTTCCCGGGTATCCGTAACAGGGCTGCACTGGGAAGAGCGCCAAACAAATAAAAGATCTTTAAAAAAGTTTGCATAATCTGGACAACTCTAACCATTTGATGGCTTGATACTTGGTTTTTGTAATTACATGACAGAAAAGTTCAAATTAAATGATGCATTTTTTCAATGTTTTGTAACCCAAATTGTCCTCAAATTCTGGAATGACCCACCTATAATTTAAATCCAGATTAAAGTAGATTACATGTGTTCTGACTCTGAAGAGATACCTGTACGAGCAGCAGATCACATCCAACAGTGTTGGTGGTGCACTGACTCTGGTTCAGTATCTCAAAGTACTCTAACAACACAACAGGTTTTATTTTCCTTCAGCCAGTCTCTTATGCTGAGTGGTAGACTGTTCCAGTATTTAGTCCCAGTAATGGGTAGTGTGGTTTTTCCAAAAGCAGTGCACCTGTAAGGCACCTCACAGTCTTCTCTAACTGTGGCCCTGGTGGACATCCACTTGTAGACTGTGATTTAAAGGAACTTTACGGAGTTTTGAATTTTTATGCTTGCGATTGCCCC